CTGACTGAGCGACCCAGATGCCTCACAGTCTTTGTTTTAAAGTTTATTTTGTCTCATATTGCTAACCAAGCTTTTTTTGGGGGGGAGGGGGCTTTCATTTGCATGGAATATTTTTCTAGCTCTTCAATTTCAGTCTGTATGTGTCTTTTTGTCTGAAGTCTCTCATAGGCAGCATGTAGATGGGTCTTTTTTTTTTAATGCATCATTCAGTCAACCTGTGGCTTTTGATCAAAATATTTAGGTCATTCACACTTAAGGTAATTATTGATATATATGTACTTATTGTCATTTGTTAATTTTTTCTGATAGCTTTTGTAGTTGTCTGTTTCTTTATTCTCTTGCTCTTCCCTCATGATTGGTGACTTTTAGTTTTATGCTTGGATTCCTTTCTTTTTTATTTTTTGGTGTTTCTCTTAGAGGTTTTTGAGTTGTAGTTACCTTGAGGTTCATATAAAACATCCTAAGTATATAGCAGTTTATATTAAGTTGATGATTGTTAAAGTTCTATCACATTCTAAAGAATTGCATTTTTACTTTCGCATCCGTCTTTTATATGTTTTACATCTTTTTATTTTGTGACTCTCTTAATTTTTTAGATACAAATGATTTTTACTATTGTGGCCTTTTAGCCTTCATACTCACAGTGTAAGTGATTGATGTACCATGTGTGCCTTTCCCCTAGAAATTTTTTCCTTTCATCGTTTTCTTACCTCTCGTCATGGCTTTTTCTTTTCCACTTAAAGAAGTCCCTTTAGCATTTCTTATAAGGCTGGTTCATTGGTGATGAACTCCTTTAACTTGTTTTCTGGGTAACTCTGTCTTTCCTTTGATTTTATGTGATAACCTTGTAGCGCGGAGGATTGTTGGTTGTTGGTTTTGTCCTTTCAGCACTTTGAGTACATCTTGCCACTTTCTTTTGGCCTGCAAAGTTTCTGCTGAAAAATCAGCTGATATCCTCATGGGTTTTTTTGTTGTGGATAACTGTTTGGTTTCCTCTTGCTGCTTGTAAGATCTTCTCATTATCTTTAATCTTTGACATTTTAATTATTACGTGTTTTAGTTTGGGCCTTTTTTGGGTTCATCTTATTTGGGGCTCTCTGCTTCTTGAACCTGGGTGTCTCTTTCATTCCCTAAGTTAGAGAAGTTTTCAGCTATTATTTCTTTCTATTATTTCTTCCCCTTTCTCTCTTAGCTCCTTCTGAGATCCATACCCTGGGAATGTTAATTTGAGTGATGTTGTCACAGAGGTCCCTTAACCATCTTCATTTTTTAAAAATTCCTTTTTCTTTTGGTGTTTAGCTTGAATGTTTTTTTCTTCCCTGTTTTCTGGAGTGCTCTTCTGTTCTTCTGCATCCTTTAATCTCCTGCTGAGTACTTCAGGTATATTTTTTATTTCAGTTATTTTAGTCTTTACCTCAGATTTAAATTTTTTTTTTTGATTTTTTTTTAAATTTATTTATTTATTTATTTGACAGAGACAGAGAGGGAACACAAGCAGGAGGAGTGGGAGAAGGAGAACAGACTTCCCACTGAGCAGGGAGCCCAACATAGGGCTCGATCCCTGGGATCATAACCTGAGCTGAAGGGAGATGCTTAATGACTGAGCCACCCAGGTGCCCCATATTTTTTTTTTTTTCAAAAAACATTGTGTTTTTGTTGAAGTTCTTAGTGAATTCATCTCTTCTCTCAAGTCTGGCAAGCAACTTTATGATCATTACTTTGAAATATTTGTCAGGTAGATGACTTATGTCATTTTGGTTTAGTTATTTTCTTGAAATTTTGTCTTACAAGCATATTCCTCTATCCCTTTTTAAAATTTGGTGTTTTGTGTTTATTTCTATGAATGAGGTGAAAGAGCTGCCTCTCCCAGTCTTAGAAGAGTGGCCTTGTGTAGGCACATCCCCTATGTAGACTGTGTGTTCCTCACACGTTTGGGTAGCTGGCTGTGTGGGGCTGTAATCCGTGGGTCTCCAGGTCCTGGGGCACTCCGCACTGCGTCTGCCCTAATGGAAAACTAAGGCACAACCTGGCGTGGATGTAGGTGTCTCAGGGGGCTTTGCCCTGTACCTCCTTTGTGATACTACTGGAGCCATATTGGATATAGGTGAGGTGTGCCCTGGTGTGCGCCATCCTGGGGCCGCCCTGCTTGGATGGCTGGAGCTGGTATGTGCTTTGAGCCCAGAACTAGCCGAAGTGGCGGGCTGCTAGGACACCAGTCTTTGCTCCTGTCTCGTGGGAGGGGGAAAGTCAACTGTGGCAGTCACTAGCACCTCTGACCCCAGGGAGAGTTCCTGTAGTTACTCCACTGTTTGGTGGATATTCTGGGGTTAATAAATGGTTTTCCTTCACTTATAGTCTAGTTACCCTTTATTTATTTATTTTTAGGAAAAGACTTTTTATTTATTTGACAGAGAGAGGAAGCACGAGCAGGGGGAGTGGGAGAGGGAGAAGCAGGCAGGTTCCCTCTAGAGCAGGGAACCTGATGTGGAACTCCATCCCAGGAACCCTGGGATCATGGCCTGACCTGAAAGCAGACGCCCAACGATTGAGCCATCCAGGCACCTCTCTGGTTACCCTTTACACTGCAGCTTATTTTCTGTGCCCTGGGCAGGTGAATCTGCACATGCATCTGTCAGTGATACCTTCCATTATTGCAGTTTGTGGCATCAAGGTGGGGTTGCCCTTGTTACCATGCGTCTCTTTGTCTTGCTGTTCTGATTGAGGTCCCTCTAGCCTTGTATTGTGCAGAAGGTGTTCCGTCAGCCCCCGTTCTTCAGGGGGAATTGATCTATATATAGGCATAAATTTGGTGTGTCCATGGGACGAGATAAGTTCAGGGTCTTCCTATACTGCCTTCTTAGACCCATCTGAACATTTTTTATTTTTGAAAAACTGATTGTAGTTCTCTACATTGCCTCCAAGTAATGGCATGATTTAAAGTTTCAGGGCTTATTTGCAAGATAAAGAAGATTTGCTGTGGAATGGTCCTTCCTTATGTGTGTGCTTTAGACCATGTAGCTTAAAATTGTGGTTTCCATGCCTCTTAAGATGATGCAGGTGTTTACTTTGCATACTTAAAAATATTTGACCATCTAGTGAGTGAACACAGCAGAAATTATGGGATTGTATGGTATACACTACGTTTTTCCCCTTTAAAAAAATGGGAAATATATGTAGTTGAACCCTTGAGCAACATAGGTTGAAACTGTATGGGTCTACTTACATGCAGATTTTTTAAAAATATTTTTTTATTTATTTGACAGAGATCACAAGTAGGCAGAGAGGGAGGCACAGAGAGAGAGGGGGAAGCAGGCTCCCCACTGAGCAGAGAGCCCGATGGGGGACCCGATCCCAGAACCCTGAGATCATGACCTGAGCCAGAGGCAGAGGAGGCTTAACCCACTGAGCCACCCAGGTGCCGCTTATATGCAGATTTTTTAAAATAAATACAGTCAGTGCTATAAATGTTTTTTTCTTCCTTTGATTTTCTTAATATTTTTCTCTAGTTTTTACTCTATTGTAAGTGTACAGTATATAATATGTCATTTCCACTACAAAATGCATATTGATTAATATGTTATTAATGATTAATATGATTAATATGACTTTTTATGTTATCAGTAAGATCAGCAGTCGGCTATTAGTAGTTAAGTTTTTGGGGGAGTCAAAAGTTAAATACAGGGGCACCTGGGTGGCTCAGTGGGTTAAGCCTCTGCCTTTGGCTCAGGTCATGATCCCAGGGTCCTGGGATCGAGCCCTGCATCGGCCTCTCTGCTCGGGAGGGATCCTGCTTCCCCCTCTCTCTCTGCCTGCCTCTTTGCCTACTTGTGATGTCTGTCTGTTAAATAAATAAACAAAGTATAAAAAAAAGTTAAATACGGATTTTTGAATGCCCTGGGGTTGGTGCCCATAACCCCTGTGTCATTCAGAGGTCAGCTGTATTAAAACGTATATCAGTTCATTGATTCTTGATGTTGCCAGTTAATTTATGAATTATTATTTCACTAGTTGCCTTTTTATATATGGGTGCTCAGCTTGAGTAGTGCCAGTGAGATTGGATGTTAATTTTCTCCACTCAAACTGTACCCTTAAATCCTGCCATTGTAGCACCTCTGCCAGTAGCTTTAGAAATAAGTGAAAGCCCAGCTGTTTAGGTCTGGCTGATGATGGGCCAGCAGCAGTATCTTTTTAGTTAATTTTTTCTTCCAAGATTTTATTTAAATTCAAGTTAGTTAACATGTAGTGTAGTATTGGTTTCAGGAGTAGAATTTAGTGATCCATCCCTTACATACAACACCAGTGCTCATCACAAGTGCCTTCCTTAAATACCCATTACTCATTTAGCCCATCCCCCTACCCACCTCCCCTCCCACAAAGCATCATCTTTAAAAACAAAGGAGTCTACATTTCCATTTGTGTTTGCTAAGTTATTTCCTTTAGACTTTGGGTTTCCTTTACTCATACTTCAAATCCAAATCTTTTTGTCTCAAAGTACAAGTAGAATGTAAAACAGACAGGACAGGTAATGCTTTGTGGTGTTATCATCAAGTCCTTGTTTTCTTATTACTGTAGACGTCAAAATGATTTCTCTGCTCTGGGGAGTGATGTGATAGCCCTTGGGAAAACCTGAGTGATTATACACAAGTAGCATTTCTCAAGGCTAGTGAGATAAGGTTGCCAAAATAGTAATACTCTGTAGTTTTAATCTAGCTGGTGCTTTATTTTTTTTTAAGCATTAAACTGAAACTGAAGTTTTGGGGATGTCTTTTGGCTTTTTTTGTTTCTAAACCAGTGATTGGCTATATTATATCAGAAAAGTCTGGCTAAATTGAGTTTGTCAATCTTATGAATCACTATTTTAACATAGTGACCATTGCTATTTGAATGAAGTGAAATATGTAATTAAATTTAACCATATTTTATTGAAGTATTGTTGACACACAATGTTACAAGAGTTTTAGGTGGACAACACAGTGATTAACTTTGATTTCTCTTAATAGAAAATGAATGCGGTGTTGGAAGATCACTACTATCGGAAGGCTGGTTAGCATCAATTTCCTAAGAGATACTTGACCACTATTTGTTCTGGCATGGCGCAGAGCACTCCACAGCTTGACATGCAGGTTCTTCATGACCTCCGACAGCGTTTCCCGGAGATTCCAGAGGGTGTTGTGTCTCAGTGCATGTTACAGGTAGATTACCCAGCAATGATAGTGATATTAAGCTACAGTTCTCCTTAAGTTTTCTTGTCTTTGTGGAGGGCAGTGGGAGGTATTTAGAGTAGGAATTCTCAGCCTTGGTGCTATTGACATTTTGGGCTGGGTTATCTTTGTTGTGGGGCCCTGCCGTGTACATTGTAGGCTGTTTAGCAGCATTCCTGGTCTCTACCACTAGATGCCAATAGCACTCTTGCAGTTGTGACAACCAAAAATGTTTCCACACATTACTAAATGTCTTATGGGAGGCAAAACCTACCCTACTGAGAACCACTGATTTAGAGGGGAAAAAAAGGCCTGTAGCAAAACAAAAACTGATTATGTTCAGATTCCACGTTTTATAGTTTTGGAGTTGGTTGATCAGTCCCCAAATTCTTAGATTTGAATTTTGAATCTCAGATTTATCATTATAACTTTTTGGCTGTACTTTTGAGCCAGTTTTTTAAAGTCTATAGAGTCCATTCCCTTTCTTACTGTTTTTCTAGTTAATAAAATGCTTACTAACAGGTAATTTTAAGTGTAAGGCCACTTTGTCTAGTTTAATCATATTTCTTTGATTTTGTTGTCTTATATTGAAATGTATCTTTAATATTGGATAGAATGTATTTTCCCATTCAAGGGACAAGAGAGAAACCGGCCTAATGCTCCCCTTGTTGAATTTTGCATCATCCTTCACAGGATCTCCATGTGTTTTGGGTTACAGCATTTCCCTGTTTGCTTCACTTTTGGTACAGTACTTTTGTCCACTGGACTTCCTCACACGTTGTCGGTTCGAATTCTGCCTTACTGCATCATATGCAGACTCTACCTTACTGCAGTGTGAGTGGCTCAGCTTATCACCTAAGCCTATATACTGCGGAGTTTAATTGCAAATAGAGACTCACAGAACAATTGTGGTAAAAGAGGTGCTTCCTAGCTCTTCTACTACGTTTAGGCCTTTGGGGTTACGGTTTTTGTATTACAGCTTGCTTTTGTTTTTTCCAACACACATTCCCACTGTGAATTTCCATTCTTTACTTTAGCCACATTTTGGTCTCTGGTAGAGCAAAGGTGCTTCCCAATGGAGTAAAACCAAGCATGAGTGAGGCTTTCAGTTAAAACCATTTCCTAGCAATCACCTTCCTTACCTGTCCTCACCACCTATCTCCCAACTCTTTGTTTTTTCAAATTTAATTTATCCTTTTATCACCTGTATTTTTTCATGGCTTAGTGTCTTTATCACACTAAACTGAAGGAATGAACTTCACTGAAGGAATGAACTTTAAATTCAGCTTAATGAACATTTATTGCTAATTGACATTGACTCAGGTCTTCCTCTTCCTTGTTCCTTTGGAATTAATAAGAGTCTGTTGGCACAGAGACTTACCTTTGAGTGGCACTGAAAAGTTTTGCTGTTTGCATTTAAAGACTCAGTAGTTGATATACAAGTTTTAAAGCCTCTCTCTCTGAGCTATCATCTCTCAGTTTAGGGTCACTTTTTAGGAGTATGATGCTTTTTTGCCTAGGTCTTTTCAAGAGTTTATATATGGTTTTTGTTTGTTTGTTTTAATTCTGACCTCTTACGGCACCTGGCTGGCTGGCTCAGTCCATAGAGCATCTAGCTCTTGATCTCAGTGTCATAAGTTCAATCCCCACATTGGACATGAAGCCTACTTTAAAAAAAAAAAAAGGAAAAGAAAGAAAAAATAATTCTCATCTCTTTATCCAACTAAGTAATTTTTATTTATTTGTATTTACTATTTGATAAATTTTGTATCCATTTTTTTTCTTTTGAAGGCATTCTGTAGGTTAAAGATCACATTTGAATCTGTTTTGGTGGTATTTAAAAATGATATTGTAAAGAAACCTTTTTAAAATTTTTTCTTCATAGGAAAACTTACTTACCTTGTCACTGTAGACATGCATTTGAATAGGCTGACAAATCAACTTTGTATCATTGTGAATTTGGGTCCTTTTGTGAGGATACTGTTCAGGCTCCCTAATTCACTATAGAAAACATGAAATTTCAGCAGCATTACTACAGTTGTCAAATAGTGAAGTATCCACGACTGGTTTAGGTTTCATATAAATGGGCTAATTTTTTTTAAAATTTTGTTTATTTATTTGACAGAGAGAGAGAGAGATCACAAGTAGGCAGAGTGGCAGGCAGAGAGAGAGGGGGAAGCAGGCTCAATCCCAAGATCCTGGGATCATGACCTGAGGCGAAGGCAGAGGCTTTAACCCACTGAGCAACCCAGGCGCTCCTAAAATGGGCTAATTTTTGTTCTCCTTTTAGTCCATTTGCAGACATACTTTGTTATCACTTTTCATATTCTTTTCTTTCAGATACCTGTCAGTGACATTTTCTAGTAGGCAATCAGTTTGAATCCTTTGGATCCAAATTTGCTTAATACTGAGCTTCTCATCTCTTGAGCACAGTGATTTTCAAACAGGATTTTTAAAAAGGCCATACTCTCGAGTTTTAATAATTTTCTTCTTTTTTAAAAAATAATTTTCTTCTTAAATTTCCACAATTACTTTTCTCTATGGCTCAGAATTTTAGTATCACAGCTATATATAAGGAAACAGATACAAGTTATGTATGGACTTTTGATGAAGCCAGTTCTTTAAATTTCTAAGAATTCATTTTGCAGAGGTTTGTTTAACTAAATCTTTGTTTACTTCATGAAGCTTTAATATAGTTATTTACTTTTGGCCTAACATCCTCTCCCTTGAAATTAGAGAGTTAGGAGACTGAGAATCTAGAACTGGCTCTCCTGTTAACTAGTTAAGTGCTTGTTCTCAAGCCATGTATCTCTTTCCTCATCTGTAAATGAGTTGATTTGGAATAGATGAACCCTAAAAGTTTCTGGCTCTAAAATTACAGCATTGTATGTTCTGTTTTAGGTTAACCTTATTTGCTTCTCAGCAGAAGTAAAAGTGTTTCCTTTCATTTTTGTATAAAATGTGCTTTTTCCTAAAATCAGTATGCAGTAGTAGGTATGTATGTGCATATTGTATATTTATGAACTACAGAGAAAGTCATAGAAATTGAGAAATTTTATTATTCCAAAGGCAATGGATAATAGTGTTTTAGGCTAATAAAATAGTTGAGAATTCTGTATTTTAATGGAAAACTACCTTATATTTTCAAATTAAAAAAAGACGAACCTCCTTCATTAGTTACATTATTGTCAGAATGTCCTAAATGTCACTTTGGTAATACCATCTTTGAGTGTGTGTATAGTGACTCAAAAAATTCATATCCTACAATGATTGTGAAAGTTGACCAAGCTACTTTTCAGTGGGTAGAAAATGTTGTGTCTGTGGGAGTGTGAATGAATTTCATTGAGGCAGTCGAGACTTGGTTTTCTGTTAAATAGCCTTAACTTTGGCAGTTCTGGAACCGTAGTTCAAAAATGTGTGCTTGTTTTTACTGATTTCTTTGGTTAGCTTCATCTTTATTAAGGATCGTTGAAGTTATATAGGGATAAATTTGGTGAAAAGAAAAGGCTGCTTTAGAATTTTTATTGTTTTGACTCTAGGAATTTTATTATAATTTTTCCCCTTTTGTGGTTCCAGTACCTTTCGAAAACTAAAGCATGACTATTTTCATGTTTTCTGGCTTTAAACTGGTGTGTTCTGAGCAGTTATGGTGAATCCAAGATTGGCCCAACATGTTAATTTGTTGAGAAACATCAGACCTAAAGTGAGTCCTGGATTTGGACTCAGACAACGTGGAGTTGAGTCACTGTGTTCATTAGTGGGTGCTTTCCATTTCTGTAGCAGTAGCGGGAGTACTAGTCATAGGAACTAAATGTCTGTGAAACAGTATGAATTGTTTGGGAGCTGTTTGTGCTTAAAATGCCATTCTCTACTTATTTTATGACAGTCGTATTTGCATAACCTGCAATGCTTGACTTCTTTTAGGATTTGTTCATTTTGTCATTGTTAATGTTACCACTTTTCTCCCGTAGAACAACAACAATCTTGAAGCCTGTTGCCGAGCCCTCTCCCAGGAGAGTAGCAAATACTTATATATGGAATACCACAGTCCAGATGACAACAGGATGAATAGAAATCGCCTTTTGCATATTAATCTGGGTATCCATTCTCCGAGCAGCTACCACCCAGGAGATGGGGCACAACTTAATGGGGGTCGAACACTGGTACATAGCTCAAGTGATGGACATATTGATCCACAGCATGCAGCGAGTAAACAGCTGATATGTTTAGTTCAGGAACCACACTCCGCTCCAGCTGTTGTGGCTGCTACTCCGAACTACAATCCATTTTTTATGAATGAACAGAACAGAAGTGCAGCTACTCCTCCCTCACAACCACCTCAGCAGCCATCTTCCATGCCCGCAGGAATGAATCCATCTGCTATGCAAGGGCCTTCACCGCCGCCACCTCCTTCGTACATGCACATACCTCGGTATAGTACAAATCCGATTACTGTTACAGTGTCCCAGAACCTCCCTTCTGGACAGACTGTACCAAGAGCTTTACAAATTCTTCCACAAATTCCAAGCAATCTCTATGGGTCTCCTGGTTCTATTTATATTAGACAGACATCTCAGAGTTCATCAGGAAGACAAACTCCTCAGACTACACCATGGCAGTCCTCACCACAGGGCCCAGTGCCTCATTATAGCCAACGTCCTTTACCTGTTTATCCACATCAACAGAACTATCAACCTTCTCAGTATTCTCCCAAACAACAGCAGATTCCTCAACCTGCTTACCATTCGCCACCTCCTTCTCAGTGTCCTTCACCCTTCAGCTCTCCACAGCATCAGGTGCAGCCTTCCCAGTTGGGCCACCCAAGTTCCCACGTCTTTATGCCCCCTAGTCCTTCAACTACTCCACCACATCCGTATCAACAAGGACCTCCCAGCTATCAGAAGCAGGGAAGCCATTCAGTAGCTTATCTCCCATACACAACATCTAGCTTACCTAAAGGATCCATGAAGAAGATAGAAATTACAGTAGAACCCTCTCAAAGACCTGGGACAGCAATGAACAGGAGTCCTTCACCTATCAGTAATCAACCATCTCCACGGAATCAGCACTCACTGTACACAGCCACCACACCACCTTCAAGTTCTCCTTCAAGAGGAATATCCAGTCAACCAAAACCTCCATTTAATGTTAATCCTGTGTATATTACGTATACACAGCCAACTGGACCTTCCTGTGCTCCGTCACCATCTCCTCGAGTAATACCAAACCCAACTACAGTTTTTAAAATTACTGTAGGTCGAGCGACGACTGAAAATCTTTTAAATTTAGTGGACCAAGAAGAACGTTCTGCAGCCCCAGAACCTATTCAGCCCATTTCAGTGGTACCAGGCTCTGGGGGAGAAAAGGGAAGCCATAAATACCAGAGGAGTTCTAGTTCTGGATCAGATGACTATGCCTATACACAAGGTAATTTTAGCCCTTTTATGAAATTTAATCTTTGTGGTGAGGTGGCTTTTTCAAAATAAATTTATATTAGCTGTTTAGTTTCTAGAATTGCTGTTCTTCTTCTCTTCGATCTCCCGTTGGATTTGTAGGTGTTTGCAATCTTTAGATAAGCTATCTAGCTGATCTCCCGCTACCTGAAGTAGTCTCAGCCTGCTACTTCTCCGCCATCTTGACTCCCTTCGCTGTTTAGTTTTAATGAAATGGTTAGTATTTATTAAATAGTTCACAGTAGTATTGCTACCAAGAATAGGCTGAGACAAAAATAGTGTCAGTGCTTCAGAGTTCTCTATAGGCTTTGTTTTAAAATTTGAAAATAGTGATCTAATAAGGCTGTTTTTAGGAAGAACATTCATTGGGACAAAAACATAGACAAGTGAAAGTGATACTGTCAAAAAACAAACTACAGAATTGGAGATTCATAATGGGTGGGCTAATGTTTATCAAGGTTAAGAAATTTGAATCTTTTCTAACGAGACTGGCCTAGAGGGTGTAATATTTATAAGTGATAATATTTATAAGTGGGATTGGTGATGAAGACTAATGTTGGATTAGTTAATAGTGGACCTAATTAAAGGGAGGACAGAATTTTTAAAAAGTCTATCCAGATTTCAAGGTATCTGAGAATTTAATATTCTTTCATTGTGTAAGAGGAGTAGTAATTATGATTATAGTTCGATATGTCTGGTATTGAACCTGTTTAAGAACCACACAGGTATAGTTAAAAAGACAATCTTAGGGAAATGAAGGTCAACAGAGCAAGACAGACATATGGTTGGTGTCATTTTGGCAGGAGTTCCAAGAGCCAAATTAAAGCCAAATAGCATTTGCAAGACACAAGAGTAAATGCCAACTCAGAATGGAGGACAGCGTTTCTTTTGAGTATTTTATGCACTAGCAGTGCATATAGAAATTTTCCAGTCACTTGTTCAATGTTACCCTCTGCAATGACTCTATCTGTAACACTATAGCCTTGCTGTTACATCAGCGAGCAAGGATGGAGAGGTTAGCAAAGCAGTTGAAACTTGAGAAAGAGGAGCTAGAGCGGTTGAAGGCTGAAGTGAACGGGATGGAGCATGACCTGATGCAGAGACGGCTCCGAAGGGTCAGCTGCACCACTGCAATCCCCACGGTAAGTCCTCTGTTGGCCTGTGTGGCCAGGAAGATGGGCGTGATGGCTGTCTGGGGCATGTGTTCTTCTTTGATGTTCTGTTCCTGACAGGGTCTTCCATTTTTTCAACAATGGATGAGAGACTTTTGCCTTCAGTTGTTCTCTTCAGAATAATTTGGTGCCTTTATTTCTTCTCACATGTGTGAATTCCATAGGTTCATCAGTATTTTCAAATGACTGACTTTCTAACAAAGGTATGGTGTCTCATTTACTATGAATTGCTCTCTGTCAAAATAGAGTAGTACACCCTCCCCAAGCATTTTATATTTTTTTCTCATCTGTTCATTTTATTCTTTTAAGTATATACTATACATATAAATTCCAAAGATTTAAAAGTTATTTTCTTAAGTACGTTGATTCAAATGCATTAGAACAGTGTCAGTATGAATCTGGGAAAGTGTGCACCATAGAGCATTATAAGGCAGAGCAATTTTGTTAAGTGTAAGTAAGGTAGGAACTAAGATAACCATACTGACAGCGGTCCTAATAGTAACTGCCCTAATGAAAAGATTTGGATAATATATTCTTAACATTTTAAGTACGGTTTATGAGTTCTAAAAAATGTTAAACTATTCAGAACGTTTTGAAACCAGTCTCCTAGAATCTTGTGACGGAAGTACAAGCTTTCTGTGATCTGACATTCATTCGTGCAGCAACTTGTTGAGTTCATGCATGTGGTCTGTATGTATGCACCAAGCTAGGTGCTTGGTACATATGTGCTAGCAAGAGAAATAGACCCGTGGGCAGATACTTAGAATTCGGTGTGGTAGGTGCTGGTAATGCTCACGGGTAATGAGAGGACTCATACGTCAACTGGTTTCTGTATGTACTCAGTGCACTTCTGCTGGAGTGCCCTTCTGAAGCTCTTCATGGCTAAGTCCTGTGTATGCTTCAGGGCTTCACCTTACTCTTTACTTTGTCCTTGGAGCCATTCCTTATTTTCCTGATCTCTTTCAGCGGAGAGTAATTTCTCAGCATTTACAGGTTTGGAGAAGAGCAGCATGTCTGCAGCTCTGCCTTCATAGATAGGTTTTTAATGGAAGGTCATGGCTTCAAAGGCAACCTGTGAACTCCTGAAGTCATGTGCAGTCTGGAAGCATGTCTCCAGTTTCTGGAGCTTCTGATTTTTGTTAAGGTTAATAGAATGGAGGGGAAGAGGGTGAGGACCCACTGGTCTATACAGTATAGTATTGCTGTAGAGGGAGAGAGGAAAGGGGAGGGCATTTTAGAAGGGAAAACAAAAGAGAGGGAAGGAACATAGAGGTAACAAAAGTGTGAAGTTAAGACAGAGACAGACTTTCAGGAGGCAGCAAATACAGGTCTTACACTTAAGCTGAGATTTCTGGTGTCCTAACAGGTAAATGTGCATCTGTCAATTGTGGTTTAGACCTTGAGGGTGAGGTGTTTGAACTTCATTCTGTTGGTAATGGGGAACCAGTGGAATTTTTCAGAAGGAAATTATTGATATTGATTATTGATAAAGAGGCATATTTAGTAATTTAATGAAATTTTTTCTAATACTGACGAAATTCCTAAGTATAGTCAGTAGTAGAATCAAGAAGGAGGGAGGGTTTTACTTAAAGCACTTAGAAAACTATAAAGCTCTCTTTAACTGAAAGGTAATAAATTTCTTAGTGTTTTCTCCACTTGAAATCTTAATTGAATTCTCTGATTGGGGGAGGTATTGAAGAACATAACCCACAGAGGAATCTCTCCTGGTGGTTGGGCACTTTGGAGTCTTTTAGGTACTAATGGAGCATGAGCAGATTTTGTTAACATAAAAGTCATTTCCCTAACATAACTAAATAAGTTTTGTTTAGTAACCTCTCGCTGTGTGGTAATTCCTGCTGAAATGAACCCTATTGGTTTATGTTGCTGTTTTGGAAAGTAGAGGACTGTCAAAGGTAACATAGGTTAGTGCTTCAAAAAAATCCAGATTTTAGATGAGCATTTTTATTGATGAGTTACTTAAAAAAAGAAAAAGAGTAGAATGAACCCCCTGTGTAGCCATCACCCAGCTTCAGAAATTGGTAGCCCATATTGCTGACAATATTTAAGAGATGAGAAATTTGTGTGATTGCCTTGTGTTTCTGCTGCCAGGCCTAGAGTAAAGTGAAGGACTATTAGCAGTGCATGGCTGAGGGACAATTCTACATGGAGGTTCAGACAGTGCCTCTCTATTAAGTGTGAATTTGACTCCTCCTCCTGCTACTCATATATCCTTGGAGAAGTAACTTTCTCTGCTTGTTTTCTTACCTGTAATATCTTCAAGTGCCCATCTCATGGGATTAAATAATATTATACATAATCAATTTATGTAATCCCCAACAAATAGTAAGTATTCTTACCAGTGTTGGTTGGACAACACTGGAAAATCCTATTTAAGATACACACACATACACACCCCTGAACCATTTTGCAAAATTTTGATTTAACTCCAGGAATATGCATAACGTATGTATATTATGTAGGAAATTAATCCAGAAGTAAAGCATTTTGTCAGAATTCCCTTTTGTTGAAAGAGGCTCATTTGAGTCACCATGACATCCTTGTAAAGACTGCCCATATAAGGGGCACCTGGGTGGCTCAGTCAGTTAAGCAGCTGAATTTTCCTTTCTGCTCAAGTCTTTATCTCAGGGTCATGGAATCAAGCTCCACATTGGGCTCCACGCTTACTGAGGAGTGTGCTGGAGATTATCTTTCTTCTTCTTCCTTGTCCCCTTCCCCCAGTCTCTCTCACTTGTGCTCTCTAAAATAAATAAATCTTTTTTTAAAGATTTTATTTATTTATTTGACAGAGAGAGAGAGAGAAATCACAAGTAGGCAGAGAGGCAGGCAGAGAGAGTGTGAGATGCAGGCTCCCCGCTGAGCAGAGAGCCTGAGGCTCTCTGCTCAGGACCCTGGGATCATGACCTGAGCTAAAGGCAGAGGCTTAACCCACTGAGCCACCCAGGTGCCCCCCAAAATAAATAAATCTTAAAAAAAGAAGTGCTCACATAGGCTCTGGAGGCAGAATAGTTCTGGCAATCACTGACTATATCTAAGTTATCTGCATTCGATTTTCCCTATCTATAAAAGGGATTTTCCCTATCTATAAAAATTAACAGAATTCTGTTAAATATATTTTAATATTGTTGTCAAGATAAGATAAAAACAATATATGTAAAGTGCCTGGCATGGAGTTAGGTGCTCAGTAAAATGGCTGTCTTTATCTTTGTCCCACTCACGTGTAGGATTATGTGATAGAGAATGGACTATTTTTTTTGCTACTAAGCACATATTTCTACCTTCAGGTTTTAACATTTCTTTATCAAGCAGTGTATTAAGAAATGTGCATGCCTCAGGAAGCTGAAATGCACATTTGTTGCCAGCTGTAGAAGCTCAGAGCACCAGTGCAGTAATCTAAGGAGGGCAGAAGTGGAAGATCGCCCTAATCTGCCGTTTGCAAAGCACTGTTAAGTGCTGTCGAAGAGGTTATCTCATAAAGAGATCTTTATGTGAAAGGATAAATGTGTGTCTGTGAACCAATACGTGTTTGTGTGAGAGAGAGAAAAGATCATGTAAATTGACATTAAGTCAGAAATGTTGGCCAGTTTAAGGATATTAAGTACTTTCAGTGTTTTGAGATAGAAATGTTAGCTTTTTGCTGATAGGGTTCAAAGATGAGACAGTTTCATGGTGGAGAGGGAAATTTAAGTTACACCTTGAAAGATAAATAAGGTTGGATTAAGGCGAGAGATGCCATTTACCCCCTCAGTCAAGTTTTTCCTGTCATTTGTCTTGTTCTAAATGGGTTTCTGGAATAACTGATGTTTGTTAGTCTCAGATGCATAATTAGGGCCAAGCCACTGATCAACAGTGATCTTCGACTGGGTCTCTGTGATACAACTTCTTCAAGTGCTCAGTTGACTTAAGGTAGTTTTGCCACCTTTTGGAAAAAGCTTAAGAGTTTTTCACTTTGAAATGTCAGCTCTTTTACAAACAGCTCTAAGTTACAGCCAATCTTGAAACCCCTCCTCCCTGAAAAGACAGTGTATTTTTTGGCGAATGGTACTGACTTTTCAGATTTTTTTTAACCTTGGTTTAATCAGAAACTATGAAAAAGGACGTTAAGAATCTTAAAGGTATACCATTCTTTTAGTGAATTGGAGTGGTTCTCTTGTCTTTGGAAATGACTTTGTTGAGTAGATCTCTTGTTATAAGCAAATGTGCTGAAGCCTCTAGACTATATATAAAGTGTATTACAGTACTTCCATACTTAGTTATGGAGCTTCACTCTTTATGACCACTGTGGCCAAACCTCCCCCCTCCATACATAGGAAGAAGCAACTCCTTTAGGTCCTGAATTTTTCCGTTATGATTCTACAAAGAATGAGTTCCTTTACATATTCCTAGGAAGACAATAGCCGTCTTTGAAACCCCTGGACAAGTGCTTTATTTTTAGTATAAATGCTCAGGTATATTTTAAACCCTTTTAATGTTGCCTGGTAGACAAGGTGTAAGCATTTTACTTGGTAATTTCCCATACTTTTGCAGATAGGGAAAAAGAAAGCAATCCCTAATAAATAGTTATAAATGACTTTTGTGTTCTCATAGCATTCTAAGCAATTGTAGCTCTTACTGTATTCTATCACATATTTTAAATGTTTCATACTTAGTAATGCAAGGGGCAGTCCCATTTATTCTGATCACATGTCCTAACAGCATAAGAGCTTGCATTATTGTGAATTAAGAACCTTTTTACTCCTTTCTCTTTGCTCTTATACTAACATAGTTTGTAGAAAAATAAAGGTTTTTAATGGAAGAGGATTTTATTCTGTCACAGCAGATATTTATCTTTTACTTCATGTAGTTGAAAGCACATTAGTAACTAACTGAGTTAATATCTGGGCTGTGCTGAAAGCTTCAGTATCCCTGCCTCTGGAATTCAGACTCGAATTTTGTTTGTTACTGTGTGTGTGTGTGTGTGTGTGTGTGTAAAAATAGTAAATCTAGAAGGTCCGGGGATGTAAAGACTTCCAAAAAACTTTATTTAACTGAAGAAGAGTGCATTCTGTACATTTCAATGTCTCATGTGTGCCCCTCAAAGGCCGAAGAATAGGAAACAAATATGGAGGAAGTCAAGAAGGAGGAAACAAATATGGAGGAAGAATGGGATCCATTTGTTTGTGAAATTTTCATGTAATAGATTGTTTGATGTAAATCCTGGTTTTACCAGTCATTGTGTTTTATAACCTTGGGAAAATTATATGCACTGTGGGTGCATCAGCTTCCTCATGTATAAATTAGCAATGATATTAGTACTTGCCTGAAAGATATTTTGAGGAAGGAATGAGACCTCTGGTAAACACAGTGCCTGATACTTAGTATTGTTGTTTTTTCAAGCCTGGACAGCACTAAAATCATGGTCATTGCTTGTTTTACAGATTGATTCTCATAGTTTCCCTTACCATGAAAGCATAGAAGTAAATTATTTTTAGTGCTCTGTGATTAAAATGGTATTTTGTATGATAAAACATAGTCTAGTACTGTAGTTTTGTGTTTATGTGGCCATACCGATGTCCCCATTTTACCTGACTGTTCCTTTAAATGTTTAGGACTTCTTAACATGCCCTCTTATGGACTAAGGCCATATTGTTGGTAATGACCAATCAGAACTATTAATATGAATAGCAGTTCTTAAATGTTGGGCTTGATAATGACTTTCCCACAATTGCTATTTTGGGTCCTTTCTTACTAGCCTGAGGAAATGACAAGATTGAGAAGCATGAACAGACAACTCCAGATAAATGTTGACTGTACACTGAAAGAAGTTGACCTCCTTCAATCTAGAGGTATAGACTTGATTATTTGGTAAACCATAAGTAATAGTGTGTTTTAAGCTGCTAAATAGCCATCATTTTTGGTTTTACAGATTTAAGAGATAGTTTTTATCCATTATAATTCTACTCAAGAGATCCTTCCACCCCATGGTCATAGATTTGGGGGATCAAAAACAGTTTTACTTTGGCAATTCCGTCATTAAATTCTTGTCATTTAGACTGCTCTAAGTGGTTACTCCGCATTTTTCTTGTTCTAGTCATTTACTGTGAATATTTTGTATTGATGAGTCTTAATTATAAAACTTCCTAGAGTGATGTTATGGTAATCATCAGAAGTATCTGTTAAAATAGGGAATCACATATCAGAATACCAGATTTCTCACTTTTAAAGTAAATTCCATATGCCATTTTTATATATCTATCACATGAAAACATCCAGCTGTATCTCAGACTTTTTGGAGTATTTTTTGGCTTTTTTGTGTTTTTGTTTTGTTTTGTTTTGGCTCTCTTATAGACTTGTACTACAGTAGAAGCTCTCTTAGCTTTCACTTACCAAGCTCAGTAGGTTAGAGATGTTCTTTATTTCCCTCTGTACAGTACTCCGACGCTGTCCTCAGCTGCTGCACACTGCTGACTAGGGACCCCGTACTGGCATGTTCAAGTACTGTCACTCCTAGGGGTTGAATGGTCCGCTCAGTGAGAGTTTGTTGTACCTGTTCCCTAACTTGCACATGCCAGTTACTCTGCTTCTGTAATTTAATATTTATTAATCTGACAAGAATGCAGGAGGAGCTGTTCTTTCTACAAAAAAAAACCCCAAAGGCCAATTACTTTAAAAACAACAACAAAAAGGCACAGTTGGGGGGTGGTCTGAGCAAAGGGTTCAGGGGATAAATCACAAAAATCTAAGAGGATTCTGTTTTCTTACTCAAAACAATACAAAATTGTAGAACTTTAGGGTTCAGAAAACTAGCTTGCTGGTTCTTTTTGTAGCTGTAGTCAAGTGTAGTCACGCCCATTTGTTCACATATTGTCTGGGGCTGCTTTTGTGCTTCACCAGCACCATTGGGGGCTTGCAGCAGATTGAATTACAGGTCCACACGCCGTGAAATGCTGATTTTCTGCAACTTTACATAAGAAAAAGTTTCCCACTTCCTCTGTAACTCATCATGGATGTTTATGTAAGAAAGACAGTGTAGAACGTCAGTGGACACGTAGTGAAAAAAAAAAGTCTTCGTCCAGCTTTGGAGTTGACAAGTAATTTTTCTTAAAAGGTCTGTTTCAATCAGCCTCTCTATTACCACCACTTATTGTTTTCAATTATGGCAGCTAAGGGAGCTTCTGCTCTATTTTGAGAGTATATAATAAATCTCGACTAAAAATGGCAATGGGCTAACTTTAATAGTAGAAGCCTGGGACCCTAAAAGATACCCAACAATCTGAAAGAAGCAAATTTGAATATGAAAATTGAGCAGCCTGGGCATTTCACAAAGTAGTCCCTTCACAGACTCGTAGCTTGAAGCAGTGGAGCTCTGCGCTATATCCAGGTGATACAGATTATTGTTAGTGTATTGGGAGACTGCATCAGTTTTTGCTTGCGTGCTTTTTAAAGCACAACACACAAACAACCAGTTAGAGTATTTATAGTAGCCTTAGGAGATCTAGAAATTAAAACATCAGCTGTAACTTAAGTAATCGAAAAAATACATATGCAACATCTTAGAGTATTGTGGCTTTCATTATCTTCCAAATGGTTAAAAGCATTTGTAATAGGACCTGGACAGGAATCACTATTAAAGTTTTATAAGCAAAGAGCTGTGTTTTTGGTCTCCATTGGGCAACAAAGAGCTCTTTTTGGTGCTTAAGTATTTCTAAATCTCCTTTCATAAGGGGTCCAAATATGTCCATTTTATACTGAATTCTACTCTTCCACACTCTGGAAAAATTTTATACTGAATGCCAATGTGAATTTGAAGTGAGAGAGTGGATCTAGATGCAGATCATTATTTGGATTGCTGAAATGCAGGTTTATTGTTGGTTTTGGTGAGGGAAACTTTGGGGGGAATAATGTCTAGAAATCAAAACATCTAATATATTTGAACTGTTAGTAAGCATGCGTAGTTACAATGCTTAATTGGAATTGTGCAGAACAAGCCAGTTACAGTGATGGGTTCACAGAAGTGAAGGTAGGACCTAAAGTTGCCACTGTATCAGAATCCACCTTGGAGCCGTCATGGCAGGAGTTTGGACTGAAATCGGCACAAGGCCAGGGAGTGAACTTTTTAAGAGAGTTGAAAATTTTGTGGCAAGATAAAACTCTCAGGGATCATTGTATTTATTATTCTGAAATTGGCACCTTATCATCTTTGTTAAATCTGTAGACCACATTCAGTATTCTCCATTTCTTGAAATCTCTGAGCTGCTGCTATTATGACTTCATTCGTCTTTGTAAATTTGTATGTTTTACTTCTTCCACTGTTAAATTCATAATGCATAACTTTTTAAGGTAAATTATGAATGAGATGAAGGAAACACTAGAAAATAGTTTAGCCTTTCTTTAATTTCTCTTACTCATTTACCTACCTAAGTGTGCCCCATACATAATCCTGCTGAAAGAGACTAGCTTTGCAGTTAGAAAAATATTCCTTCAAGTGATAGTTTATAGACCAACACTGATGTGGTAGTTTGCTTGCAGTCTTTTCTGACAGTGATCAAGAAAACCATTTTTAGTGGGAAGGTGATAGGAGTTTTAAAACCCTAGAACACAGTTTCCCATTTTAGCTATTTTATTTCTATACATTTTTAAACAAAAAAGTCAAATAGGAGAAAGCTTTAAATGCATGGTGATTTTATTTTCTTTATAGGAAACTTTGATCCAAAAGCCATGAATAATTTTTATGACAACATAGAACCTGGCCCAGTTGTACCACCCAAGCCATCTAAAAAAGGTGAGTAGGGAAATGCCATAAACATCATAGAAATAAATATTAGAATTCTTTGAGAGTTCACCTCTTTAGCTGAAGAAATTTCTATTAGAGATGCTAACTTGTTCAGCATAAAAAAATTAACCATATTGATACTACTGTGCCCATACTTTAAAAAGCACCAGAATTAGTAATTCCTGGAGTTACTGTCATAGGTAATTAAATGGGATATACAATTTAATCTTTTAAAAAGAACTTAAAGAATATATTATATAGCAAACATTAGAATTTCTTACTTCTATAATAACTGTAATCCTAAAAGATAATTCTTATAAAATCATGAGAACATTAAAGGTCTTATGTTAGAATGTTAAATTGTATCTGTAGTAGATCTGAGACTAGCAGGTTGCAGAAGAATCCTTGTGTGCCCAACAAGTGAACATAATAACTATATAGGGACTAGGTGTTTTTTCATGAAGGTCAAAATAAATCCCCTGTAACCAAGATTTGGAGGAATCACTTTTGGATCTGTTCTCTTTTACATTTATGTATCAGTGTTTAATTGGCATTTCAGTATCTTAAAAAATTAACTTGAATTAAGTTTACATCTTGAGTCATTGGATTTAGGTAAATTTTTTCTGTCCCATTCTTACTTAAGGCTCATGTTCTTTTGTATAGTTCTCAAGACTGAGCTGAAGTATGCATTTCATATCTTAATCCATTTTGCTTTAAGCAATTTAAGGGTGAAACAAGTTAAAATCTTGTCAGAGTTTCTACTTCTTAGGTAAGATATAAATTCCGTCACCTAAATTTTAGTTGAACAGTTTCCTGTGTATTTTAAGTATTTAATTTATAGGTTGCAGTGCAGTCATACTACCACCATAGATGTTTAATCAGATCTGTGTTTAAAATAGTGTGATTCCTAAAAATACAAGAAAGAATCTTAGTGGATGACTTCCAAGTATTAGATTTGGCACTATGGCAACATTATATGCCGTTTCAAGCTGAAAGTCACAGAGTTATGTATCATTGACCACTTTAACCATTTGGATTAATAATACATGGGGCTTGGGGCACCTGGGTGGCTCAGTGGGTTAAGCCTCTGCCTTCTGCTCAGGTCATGATTTCAGGGTCCTGGGCTCGAGCCCCGCATTGGGCTCTGTGCTCAGCAGGGAGCCTGCTTCCCCCTCTCTCTCTGCCTGCCTCTGTGCCTGCTTGTGATCTCTCTCTGTCAAATAAAAAAAAATAATACATGGGGTTTTAAACTTGATGTTGCCTGAATGTCTACTAAAGAAGTATTTCCTATTACTAACCCAACAGATAATTGATTCAAGGGCTGTTATAAAAGAATCACCCTGTTTAGGGGAGTATGTTGAAAAGTTGTTAATCTGGGGATAGACGACCCAGTTGATGAGCAGACAGTGTGTCCACCATGAGCCATCTCATTAGCATAAACTCTCAGGTATGGTCCAAAGGGCCCACTGTAAATAAGAGACAACTCCAGTCATTTGGGAAATTTTCAAGATTTTAGTGGTTATCTCCTAGGAATTAGGGATTAAAACTCGACCTGCTTTAGGCAAGGTCAGATTCTTCACTTACACAGAATTTATGCAGTGGGTACAAAGAAATTTGTAAATATGCAAGACCTGAAGATTAATATAATCAGTGACCTAAAATTCTGCCTTAAGCTAGGAAAGAACAACAAAGTCTAAGAGATGTAAAGATAAGTAAAACTTAAGAGTTTATTGATTGTGTTTATCTAGAAAGAACACAAATTCATAAATTATCAAAATCGGAACCAAAAGATGGGTTACCTGTTAAAATAATAAGAAAATGTGGTGAACATCTTTATGTAAACTCAGCACTTTATGTGAAATGGACTCATCTACTCAAAACTGAAAACGAGATGATATAGGACCTAATAATAGTCATATATCTGTTTAAGAAATTGAATCCATTATCTCAAAAATTGTCCCACAAAGGAAACTCCAAACCCAGATGACTGCATTGGTGGGTGTATATTATAACACATTTAAGGAAGAGATCCTACCAATCTTACACACAGTCTTTGAGAAAATAGGGGAGGAACTAAACTCTTCCCCACCCCTTTTTTTGGTCTTATGGAATCAGTAGAGTCCTGATTTCTTTTTTTTTAAGATTTTATTTATTTATTTGACAGAAATCACAAGTAGGCAGAGAGATGGGCACAGAGAGAAGAAGGGAAGCAGGCTCCCTGCTGAGCAGAGAGCCTGATGTGGGGCTCCATCCCAGGACCCTGGGATCATGAATTGAGCCAAAGGCAGAGGGTTTAACCCACTGAGCCACCCAGGTGCCCCAAGAGTCCTGATTTCAAAACCTGATAAGGATTACCTACTCACCCTGTCCCCCAAAAGAAAATAGAATTGCAGATCAATAATCCTGCACTTAAAGCAAAAAAAAAAAAATCCTTAATATTCATGGTAAATAGGATAATATATCATGACCATGTTTGTTTTAGCTCAGGAATGCACTATCAATCAAGGAGAAAAAGCTCATGATCATTTTACTAGATGCAAGGAAAGCATCTGACTAAAGTCAGCAGCCACTCCAACTAACATGGTTATTTGCAAAGATAACCCAAGGATACTAAACAAGAACTTAACAAGGTCTTGGGATGGAAGGTTGGTATACAAGAACTATATTTTTATATACTAGCAAACAATTGAAGAACGAAATTAAAAAGAGAATTACAAAACTATCAAAAAAACATGTTCTACTTACGAATAAATCTGATCAGCTGTATATGCTGAAAACTATAAAATGTTGCCAAAATAAATTAGAGTAATACACCGTGTTTGCGGTTAAATCAGAATTGGGAAACTTACTTTCCCCCTGATTTGTACATAGGGTATCCAGAATCATCTGTAAAAAGAATGAAGTTGCAACCTTAGGACTTACTATAAAGCTGTAGCCATCACAGTGTGTTTTTGGCATGGGGATAAAAAGTAGATAGAGAAACGACTGTAGCTTTATAAATAGCCCAGATACAGACCCTCACTTACACTGCCAAATTCTTGACAAAACCGCTAAAGTAACCAATGGAGAAAGTCATTGTAGCAATCAGCGCTGGAAGAACTAGATAACCATATGGAAAAATTACCAGTTTTGATTCTTACCTCCTACTATACACAAAAATCTGAGGTAGGTCATACTGAAGTGTGAATCTAAATTACAGAACTTCCAGAGCAAAATATAAAATATCCTTGCAACTTGGGTTTAGCTTGGAATTTTTGGGACCCAGAACAGTTGGTACCTTAGCCTTCATTAAAATTTAGCTCTTCTGCTCATCAAGAGGCACTATTAAGAAAGTGTAAAGGAAAGCCAGGGGCTGGGAAAAAATATTTGAAAACATATATGGTCAAAACAAAACAAAATAAAAACTGGTCTTTAGAATGTGTAAAGAACTATTGTAACACAGGAATAAAAGGACAGTCTAATAAAAGGACAGTCCAGTTTTTAAAAGGTTGAAACATTTGAGTCGACACTTGACAAAGAAATATATATGTAAATGGCCAATAAGCACATGAAAACACTCAACTTGAATAGACATTAAGAAAATGCAAATTAAAATCCTGAGATTCCTGAATAGCGATGGCTTGAAACATTAATGAGGACATAGAACAGTGGAATTCTTACACATTTCTGGTAAAAGTTTAAGATGGTGTGACCATTTCTTACAAAACCAAATATTCATTCACTTGCCCTGTAGCTCATCAGTTCTCCTTCTAAAAATTTATTCAAAAGATTTTAAAGCCTATGTCCACAAAATGACTTGTGTTAGAAGATTCATAGCATTTTTATTCAAAATAACCAAAAATTTGGGAACATACCAAGGGGCCATCAACAGATGAATGGATAAGCAAACTGATACACTGAGCGATGCAAATCAGCATTTTTAAACTCAACATGGGCCAACCTCAAGGACATAATGCTCAAAGAAAAACACCAAAGAATGTGTTCTATATGATTGTTTACATGCATTTCATAAGCTGTATTTCTGTCAAAAAAAAAAAAAACAAGACAGCTGTTATCTCTGGGAGTAGAGGTTGGGGATTAACTGGAAAGGGGCATGGGAGGATTTTATAGGCTAATGATAATGTCTGGATCAGGATTTGGATTATTCAGGTATACGTGCATTTGTCAGAACTCCATATGGCAACACATGGTTTGTGTATTTCATTGTATAAGTTTTACCTTGAAAACTCACAAAGTAGTAAAAGGAAAATTTTTTTAGGTAATGGAATAGATCAGCTGCCAGGAGCCCATATAATCCGTGTTGTAGCAGTGGTGAGAGCAGTGTGGCAGACAGTCACTCTGCCTGCTTTCTTTGAGACCAGCACCACGTGTTTGAGGTAGAGAGCTGGTGTTCAGCTCAGCTAGGAATAGTACAGGGTTTGTTTGCATCATTAGGATGCTGTAATGTCAAGCTTCATTGGGCTCTCTACAGATAGTTTTATACAAAAAAAAAAAAAAACCAGCACTTTGAATTCAAACAAATTTTGCTAAAGCTGATAATTGGTTAGTCCTTCAGAGTTAGCTGTAATTAAATTCCAGTTGCAATCAACTTTTAAATTATAGAGCAAATGCTCAGTGTGTAGAAGGATTATGTACATAGACGCTTGATGCTACAAAGTTGAGACATGACTCCTGCCCCAAGCGGCTTATCTTCTACATAAACAGTTTTGAGTAGAGTAGAGAACTAACATCTTAAGTATAAATGAATCTCTACCATAGCAATGTAATTGAGCCTTCATTCTATATACTGTTGGTGAGAGTATAAAATAGTATTATTTATGAATAGAACTTAATGCTACAATTCCTTAAGAAGGCTTTTCATTACATTTCTAAAAGCTATTTGATTTTCTCTATGAAGTCAAATTTGTTTTCTTCTAAGCATTTGCAGATTTTTAAACTAAATTGGCCTCTTAAAAAAAGTTAATGTATTTTAATGTAGATTTTCTTGCAGTATCACTTAAGATAAAGTATAAATAACAGGTAGGATTGATTTATTGGTTAGAATAAATGTCTTGGAGTTATTACAGACGTATACTGCAAATCCAAGTGGAATGTGGATGTTTGTCTGAAGTATGGTAATGAAAAGGGGAGAGTAAGAAAAAGAAACAGAAGGAAAAAGAGGGAGACCCAGAAACCTTTTTGGACTGAACTTCGTATTGAAGCAATGCAGTGTGCATGTTAGTTCCTTGGCTGACCCAGCAAGGCCTCCCCAAGCTGTCATTGGTAACACAATGGTGAGAGCATTGACCTTGGTGTCCAACAACTTGGTGTCTGGGTTGTTTTGGCTTCCAGACCTTGTTCAGATCTAGTCTGTGCACCAGAAAGGTGATCAGTCCAGTAGTTGGTGTGTTTTACAGAGCTGTTCTAAGAGTCTGTGAGAGTAAGTATGTGACACTATGAAAGTGCTTTACAAATTTAAGAAATAGAACTTGACACTATTCTTTGGAGCCTAAGGAGACCATTTACTCTGCTTTTGTTTACTCTGATAATGGTGTGTTTACGTACCTAGGTACCAAGCTTAGAATTCTGGAACAGTGATTTCCAAAGGCGGATTGTATTAGAGGATTGCTTATATGGGCTCAGAACTAATCAGAAAATAGAAGATCTTTCTTTGGTTCTGAAGAGCAAATGATACCAAGTCTTAATACAAAGAAAGGACTTCTTACTAACCATGTATAAATTAATAGAAATAAATTCATTATTTTGAGTTCTGATTTTTTTTCAGTTACTGCTAATCCTACTCTTTAATTATGATGTACTATAGTTTTATATTATTTAATGTATTCTTTGGCTAGCCTTATACATCGTGTACTTTCAACTCATGGTTTTCTCATAACTGTTGCTTACTAAGGCAGTTGCTGAAGTATCATCTTCCACATTTTGCCCTTACATTGACATTTAATTACCGTCACTGAGTTTGCACTAGGAAGGGGGGAAACTGGTGAAATTAGGCATTGCGTCCAAGTAATAGTAGAGAATGGAAGAAGTTCAAGAGCACTGTTCTGTATAGGTTGTAAAGGTGATATTAAATATGGCACTTACCTTCACAGGAGAACTAAAGATAATATGAAGCAATAGAAAGGACAAACACGCAACCGTCCACGTGCCATGGGAGAGCCTTGGGAGCCTGTCCACTCTTCTCATGGATGGCTTTAATCCCTTTTCTCCTGGCTTTGCTTCTTTTCATGCAGATTCGTCAGACCCTTGCACAATTGAGAGGAAAGCCCGAAGAATTAGCGTGACCTCCAAAGTACAGGCAGACGTCCATGACACCCAGGCAGCAGCTGCTGAGGGTTTGTACTTGTGTGTCCGGATTTTGTGCACAAAGTCCAAAGACACGTGTTCGCCCATGTAGTTAACCACAAGTAAAGTCCATCTCCCCCCCCTTTATAAAAAAATTACTCTCTCCAAGCACCTGGATGGCTCAGTTGGTGGAGCTTGTTATTCTTCACCTTGGGATTTTGAGTTCAAGGCTCACGTTGGGTGTAGAGATTACTTAAAAAAAAATTATTCTCTCTGCTGAGTTTCTAAGGCTGTGCTGCCCAACAGAAATAAAATACAAGGCAAATACTTAAAATATTTAATCTAGTATATGCCAAGTATTATTTCAATATGAAGTCAATATAAACTAGCAAGATATTTTACATTCTTGATTTCATACAATATCTTTGAAATCTGGTGTACATTTTACACTTAGAGCACATCTTAGTTCACAGTGGTCACATTTCAGTTGGCCGGCAGTTACCATATCGGACAGATTGCTCTAATAATAGCGTCTAGAAAGCAAGGCCAAGTAATTAAGGAAATAACTTGAAAATTCTGGCTTTTATAACTTCTCACTGCAATTTTCTAATGCTTCTTGAATTTTACCCTGGGATTCCGTTGAAATAAGCATTCTAAAAATACTGTCTGTGTTTGGGTTTATACAAGTATGGCTATGTAATATAAACAATATTGGTGAAACTGTTGATTTGTGATATTTTTGAGGATGGTTATTTTTATGGAAATCTGGCCTATTAACCCATTTAAAAGTAGTATTTTTTTAAAGTTTATTATTATTATTATTTTTAGGAATCTCTACACCCAATGTGGGGCTTTAACTAATGACCCCGAGATCAAGAGCGGCATGCTTTTCTGACTGAGCCTGCCAAGCACCCCTAAAAATAATTAGTCTTAAAGGAAAAACATACTGATTTCACTTTTCATTTGTGTATACATATGCATATTAATTTTTCTGTGAGACCTGAAATATTTTTCTTTTGAAACAGTCCATAAAAAGACAAGATTTTACAAATGTAAATCAAATGAAAACGGACATCTAAAATGTCTTTTGGGTTTTAAATACTTCTATTTAAACAGTATTTCCTGTGATGAAATGAGCAGCGTCCTACCCACAATAATTCTAAATTAGGTGCCTTTAAAATTCTTTTGATAAGTTTCTTGAGAGTGACTTGATTCCAAATTAAATCATTACGGTACTGAAGGGAAAAATATGCCACCGCCAAACATGCCTCTTTTCCAAAAGGATTACTCTGAGAAACTTCAAAGGCAGGAGAAGCTCTGACAACAGAGTAGAAGTTACCCTTTTGTAAGGAACATCTACAGTGATAAAGGCAATCTCCACCTAGATATGTCTGCCTGCCCCTACCAGAGAGCCTAGTGACTAAATCAAAAGAGAAGTGGATCAGTGGAGAAGGTAACCTAGGCAACAGTCAGGTAACCTTCCCTGATTGGCTTCCCCTGCCCTCCCCCCAACACCTTTCTTTTGTCTTTAGCTGTAGATGGTATTTTAAGTTAGGTTTTCTAGGTCTCTGCCCTGTCTGTGTGAGGTACATATGTTAATGAACTTGGTTTCTTTTCTTGTTAGTCTGTCTTTTATTACAGGAGGGTCTCAGGCAAGAACTCAAAGGATAGAAGGGAAATTGTTTTTACTTTGTGTACAGTATTAGACTATGAAGAGGAGCCCCAAGTATCCTGTATTAGTTATGCTAAAAGAGGTTGTGCAGTTATTTATAGACTTTAGAAAATAACATTTTAGGCTAGGTTTGGAGTTATACTTCATGAAGTAAAAAGTTGCCTGCTCTGGGAAAGTATAAAAGTGAGTTTTCAGAGCCTGTTTATTAAAAGCCAACAGCAATATGGTTTAAGTGTTTACCTTTTTGGAGAACAAAACGCCCTGAAAACCAAAGAGTACCGTATGAGAGAGGACCTTTTCTGGAAATGGCGTGCAGAACATTTTTCCTCTAACAGAAAGCTATAGCAATTAAATGTGCTTTTTTTCTTCCATATTGTACAAAAAAGAAAACTATCAAGTCTCTGTGTTTTGGAGTCATGAGCCAAAAGATACAAGGTGGGTGATAATGGCCACTCAGATGGCCAGTGGAGGCCATATAAACAAACCCATTCTCCTTTTTATAGTTCTAGGAATAGGTTGATAGACCCAGTGGTTTTCTATTTTGTTGTAAAGCTAACATCTCCTTCCTTTTTCAGCCTGAGTCTTACTGGTTTTTTTAAGATTTTATTTATTTATTTGACAGAGAGAGATCACAAGTAGGCAGAACAGAAGGCAGAGAGAGAGCCCTGCTGAGCAGAGAGCCCCATGTGGGGCTTGTTCCCAGGACCCTGAGATCATGACCTGAGCTGAAGGCCGAGGCTTAACCCACTGAGCCACTCAGGCGCCCCCGGCCTGAGTCTTACTATTGCCTGTTTTAAGGTTAGAGGTCTAAAGCTCAGTTCTCTCTACCTCTTGGAGAATGTTCACACCAACCATTTGTCATGAAATACAAATTGCTAACCACAAGTGAGCTCATTAATTTCCAGTGGAAGATAGACTTAACCCCAAATGGTAACTGATTAAATCCTTCCATCTTAGTTCCTTCTGTGACCTGCTTACATAGGTTGCCTACCTTAGATCTTAATCTCATTTACAGTTCACAGTGATGATTTCCACTGGTTTAACAGGTAGATTTTCCCAGCCTCTGGCCATGATCTGGATTCCAGGGGGGAATTCTACCCAGATATCTTTCACCTCATAGTCACTGCTGCCACCTTCAGTAGGGGCTAATCCACAAAAGCAGGATTTACAGATTAACTCCTGAAGCAAAGAGCCTTTTTTGAGCTCAAGGCTGAGAGATGAGGATCTAGGAGGAATCTAAGTTTCAAGTATTTTTTAAAATTTTATTTATGTGATGAAGAGAGTACATGAGCAGAGGAGGAGGGAGAAGCAGACCCCCCGCTGAGCAGGGACCCTGATGTGGGGCTCAATCCTGGTACCCTGGGATCATGACCCAACCAAAGGTAGACACTTAACCGACTGAGCCACCCAGGCTTCCCAAGTTTCAGGTATTTTTAAAGAAAGTCCTGAGGACATTAGGAGAAGGGAAAAATGAAGGGAGAGAAATCCTAGTGGGAGACCAACCATGAGAGGCTATGGACTCCAGGAAACAAATGGAGGGTTTTAGAAGGGAGGGGGTGGGGAGTGGATGAGCCTGGTGATGGGTATTAAGGAGGGCACGGATTGCATGGAGCACTGGGTGTTATATGTAAACAATGAATCATGGAACTCTACATCAAAAACTAATGATGAGAACTGTATGGTGGCTAATGTAACACACACACACACACACACACACACACAAAGTACTTAGGACCAGGGTTACTGGGTGGCTCAAACGGTTAAGTGCCTGCTCTGGCTCAGGTCATGATCCCAGGGTCCTGGGATCTTGCAGGGCTCAGGCGCCATGCTTCTCCTTCTCCTGCCCCCACTGGCTCATGAGCACTTTTTCTAGTAAATAAAATCTTTAAAAAAAAAAAAGTCTTGAGGACCCACCTAAGGTTGTGAGCATTTTATATTGCCAGATAATAGACTTTTTAAAAAACTACCTGAAGAACCTTGTAATGCCAAAAAGATAGGAGAAATTTGAGAATAAAAAAGAGTCTTTCAGGGGTGCCTGGGTGGTTCAGTGGGTTAAGCCTCTGCCTTCAGCTCAGGTCATGGTCCCAGGGGCCTGGGATCGAGCCCCACATCAGGCTCTCTGCTCAGCAGGAAGCCTGCTTCCTCCTCTCTCTCTGCCTGCCTCTCTGCCTACTTGTGATCTCTGTCAAATCCATAAATAAAATCTTAAAAAAAAAGAGTCAAATGGAATGAATTTGGCTTTTACGAAAAACTGTAAAGTCTCTCTCTTTTAACCATTCTGAGCAACTTTGTTAGGAACCATCTCTGTCGTGAACCCTTATTATTAACTAACATATGCATACTGTAAAGCTGCAGGTCTCCCAGAAGGAGGCAGACATCCCAGAACATGTTGAATACAGTATGGCCACTACTACAAGGGGCTGTGAAGTGGGGGCGCTGAAGTGAGGGGGGAAAGGGAAGGGGCAGAATTTCACATGCTGGGGGATAGTTCTCTGTCCATTTGACTATAGTACAGCATAACCACTATCTATGGATACTGAATGAGGAATGGTAGTCGATCCTGGACTTCAGTTTATCTTCTTAAACCAAGTACAATTTGTATCATAAACTTCCTGTTCTAGTAGCTATGGACATTCATTGGCTTTTATCTTAGGTCAAGTAGGAAACTACCTTTTTTTTTCTTTCTTTTCTTTCTTTTTTTTTTTTTGTAATTTTTCAGTTTGGATTATACTTGGAAGAATTCAATCTCTTTTTTCTCTTGATCCTAACTTCCCTCAGAGCATCTGACTGGCTCCAAACAGAGTCCTCGGACACAGCCCCGTGATGAAGACTATGAGGGGGCCCCGTGGAATTGTGATAGCTGCACCTTCCTAAACCACCCTGCGCTGAACCGCTGTGAGCAGTGCGAGATGCCACGGTACACTTGAACGCCCAAGAGTCTGCATCGGCCTGAGAGAGAAACTGGGAGTACCCACTAGAAGAAAAGGAGCCTTGGGAGTGTGTGCATCTGCCCGGCCTTTTCATTTCCGATTCCACTGGGGGAGGAGCAGCGCCCCTGTAGGGCTCGTGCTCAGTCAAGAAAAACGGGAAGTTCTCTTTGTTTTGGGTTTTCATTTTTTCCTTTCTTAACTCATTGCAGAGTGAGATAGAAAGGGATACTTGAAACTGGGAACTGGGAAAGGATTCACTCCTGAAAGAATGTACACAGAGAAGTCAAGAGCTCTTCTGTGGAATCCCAATTGTTAAAGTTACTGCTGAGTGGCCCTTACTTTATAAACTAGAACTTTAAATCATGGTGTGACATGTTACAGTTTATGCAGACAAACTGTGAATTCTCAGAGCAGACTTAACCCGGTCACAGCTCTCTGGAAAACCAAGGTTCCCCAAGCTTCTTCCCGTTGTTTCCTACTGAAGAGGAGGACAGGAGAAAGCACTCAGAATATGACTTGGGGGGGTGGCGCAAAGTAATAAGAGTATGTGTAATTGCTGCTTTTTCAGAGGTAATTTCAAACACACAAACACAAGTGGCTTAAAATGTGATTTGTAGCAGTCAAGAATGAGGCATATCGTGCCTTTCATTCAAAAGTACAATCAGATGAGAAGATCCCTTTTACTTGTACAATAATTCATCAAGCTAAATCAACACTGGTAACTAAGACCTAATTATGCCACATAGTAGATACAATTTTTAAGTTACTGCATGCTTTTATTGGGCCACTGGCCTTAAAAATAACAAGTCCTTACCAGTACGATTTTATGAATTTTATGAATGACCTTCTTGTAAAACTGCGCTTTGCCAATAGCACAGTGAATGTATGCCAAATGTAAATCCATTCCAAAATCCATTCGGAAATCTTGAGCTCATCTGTGGTTCTGTAAGAAATATTTGCAGTCCATAGGACCTTTTTTATCCTCCTTCCAATTTTGTGATGAATTCACGATGTTTACAGCACAGTGTTTTGTGCCAGAATCCTTACTTAGCTGAAAAAAAAAATCAACATTAGCTGTTCAGTATGGATTGATTTGCACATGTCAGTAAGCCAGTGTGAGGGAAATTACAGTTGGCCAAGATCATAAAGTTGTACACTGCATTACCTGGGAGGAAGAGAAGGCTAGTCGAGAAACGGGATTTTAAGAGAAGGGTGAATACAAAGGACTTTAAGAACTGTTTCAATTTAACATATTGTATTCCGAGATAATACTGAGTTTGTTCAAGTAGTTCAGATGATACTAAAGCACTCCTTGTTTATGAAACCCCAGCTTTAAGGTATGAATAACTGAAGAGATATAAAGTCATGTGACTCACTAGGGTGCACCACTGGAAAATTATTAATAGGTCATTTAATTAAGGTCTCTATCACTGTTGAATTTCCTTCCTAGCTCAGAATTGGATTTTGGAATCTTCCTGTTATCTTGGTGAATATAAAATAAATACAGCAATAAAACTAGTAACGTTTGTAATCCTAAAGGATTTTACCAGAGTTTTTGAGGAATATCCATTCTCCCATACTGTGTGCCCCGCTACTCTCATACTCACACTCTCTGTCTCTTTGTCTCTCTCTCTCTCTCTCTCTCTCTCTCACACACACACACACACACACACACACATACACACGCTCTTGAAGCTATCACTGTATTCTACTTTAGAAGTGCTATCTGGCAGACCTGGAAAAACAAGCTGCACTTAATAGTATAATGAAACCAAAGGCTTAATAACCCATCATCATTTTCCATCAAAATCATCTAATTTCACACTTGACCTACAGCTTTGAAAATGTTCTTTTCCTATGTGGAAACCCCCACCCCCCCCAAATCCACTTGTCTCACAAAAATATGCATGGCTATGTTATGACACTGATAAAACATCTCTCATAAAACTGTGGCAAAACTGTGAAAATAATGGTGAGAAAACAGATGGGCTTAAAAGAATTGACCTGAAAACTGCATTCTTTAAAGGTTTCTGTGACACTGGTATCTGTCCGTCTCCAGTAGCCATCTCTCAGTCCTGCTATTCTGTAATACGCCAATGCCTTTGCCTTTGTGTGGTTTTCGTATCTCTTTAGGGACGATCAACCCCCCCCCCACGGTATTAGATAACAGTTTTGGGGAAAAATATATATACTGCTTGGTGTTCTAGCTAAAGGTTTACCAGTATTCTTAGATCTGCTGAAGGGGCAGCAGTTAACTTGGGACATGTCCGTTGAGAATGAAAGTAGCATGTATGCAAACAGTCGGATGCTTTATTAAAACCCTGTAGGTGACTTTACAACTACTGCATGAACACACATCCCGGTTAATAAGCTGTTGTCACGCAATAGATGCATGGTTCCAGTCCTTTGGTGATCTATCTAGTAAATCATTCTTTTCACCTGCCAGGAAAAAGAATCAACCAGTCTCTCAGGTGTAGAGGGTGGGGTAGGAGACATCAGAGCTGGGTTTTAAAGTCGTTTCGTCTGTGTTCATTTCTGGTTGTGCACAAGTTTCATATGCCAACACAGGCTATATTCAGTTTTTCAAGTACGCAAAATTGTCTTACGCTGACAAATGTGGTCAGTTTAACCATGTCCCCTGTATATACTTCTTGCCCGTGACCGCTTTAAACAAGAATTCAGTCCACTTCTAGGTGTCTTTTCAAAAGGATCTCCTGGTCAGATGGACATGCACACGCAGTTGCGTCGGAGTGGGAGGAGAGAAGGTGCCTGTCTGCTGCCCTACTTTGGCTCTCGGGGTCCGTTGGTGCACTCGTTTTTCTAGTGAAAAGTATGGTTTCTTATAACACACCTAGTTTGATATACCTGGTAACACATAGGCCTGATGATACATGTTACACTATTTCATGGTTTTGTAAACTGGGTTTTTAGAAAGCACGTTTGCTGTTTTGTTAAAAGTACATTGCCCCTTAACTTTTGGAGTAGGTCTGAGGAGTTTAAAGTGGGAATGGAAGAGCCAGAAACTTTCTCAGCATTGTCAGATATAATGACCTTGTATGCGAGAGCAAAGAGGCAGGGGGCTTTAAAGAAACTAAAGAACTGCATTGTAGAAAAGGTAGTTTTAGAGAAGATAACGGATGGTGGGGAAAGTGTTGCTAATTTGTTTATTTCCCTGAACGAAATGGGAAGTGTGATGAGCAGTCTAATTTTTAAGGAGCTGGTCTCGATTTTAGTACTTTTTAATTATTAAAAAAATTATTGTTTCCGTAAATTTTGTCATTGTTTTGTCCTGGTTACCAAGGGTTTGTATCCAGCTTTCTGTGGCAACTCCGTTTTCTATAGTATTTTACAAGGTAACTGTAATGTCTTTGACAGTATAAACAAAAAGCAAGGATATAAGGCATAGAAAATTTGTCCTTTGAAAATATCAGTGATGTATCCTGGAATGTGAAGATGTCCCTTCATAGTTAAATTTGATTTATATTTCTATTGTAACCACTGTTCAGACTTGGAATGAATCCACGTTACAGTGTGTGTCTGTATATCGACTGAGCAAGAAAAATGACCATTGAAATGTTACTATATAAAATCAGAATAAATTGGGCACTGTCTGTTGCACCACTACTGTATCTTTTCAAAAGAATTAACAGTATTTTCTTACTGTAAAAGTTAATTCTGATGGTGTTTTCACATTCACTAGACCTGCATTTTTTTCTTTATTATTTGCATCCCCAAATATTTAATACAAGTAGATTTTGCATGGCTTGGGCATTCAGAGATTAATAGGATGGTGACCCAATATTAGTTTCTAAAGCCATGAAAAGTTGCTTTGAGACTGAACAATTCTGAATTCTTATTTATAATGACACCCGATGTCCATGTTTCCCTACTGTAAAAGAATTGATCAGTTTCTTCATTAAAACAGCAAGACCTTATTAAATCTTGTAAATACCATGTTTCTTCTAGATTTCTGTGTATGCTGTGAATCATTATTTTGAGGTGAAATTGTACAAAGGCATCTTAAAAGACTATGCATGCATCGTACTTCCAAACAGTACATACTCGGAAAGTCGAAGATTCCTGCAAAATAAATTAATAAACTAAAAACAAACACTACATTCTGCATCTTTTCTGTGTAGTTAGAAATGATTTATTGTATCAAACTAGTCCAACACCTAGTTTTCTAGACTGAAATATGCTGTCTCAAAAACAAATCTTCCATATTTCTGTTCCTCTGTTAGATCACGTTGTAATTTTAGATTTGGGATATTAAGTGTCCATTAACTTTAAAGCCTGGGCAGAAGGGTAGATAAGCAAATTTTATGAAAATGGTGGACTAGGTTAGGAACCTAAATGAGTACTTTTCTTCTCAGTTTTTTCATCATTTGTAGCTACAGTTGACCCTTGAACAATATGGGTTTGAACTGCACAGGTCCACTTATGTGTGGACTGTGCTAAAAACAATACAGGACTACAAATGTGTTTCATCTTATCCTTTTCTCCATACTTCCTTTTCTCTAGCAGGCTTTATTATAGCAATATAGTCTATGATACATAGGACATACAACATACGCGGTGAATGACTATGGTCTCCGTAAGGTTTCCAGTCCACATTAGACTATTACGTTTTGGGGACCCAGAAGTTCCACACGGCAGATTTACACCTGTGCAGGGCACCAGTGCCCTTGACCCTCCTCTTGCTAGAGTCATAGTCCACCTTCCAACATTTGCACAGCAATCAGCACAGATGAATTCTAGTAGGTAGCCTTTTCAGTGAGTAAGCATATTTGGAGTCAAAACAATTTCTACTACTTTTTTTATTATATGAAAATTAATGCACACACCCAAATACAGAAGAATTGTAGAATGACCCTTCATTTGCTCATTATCCAGCTTCCAAAATTATCCCTATGTAAGCAATTGCATTTCATCTACGTTATGATCCCCCCCATTATTTTTGTTTTTTAAAAGATTTTATTTATTTGACAAAGAGACACATGGAGAGAGGGAACACAAGCAGGGGGAGCAGGAGAGGGAGAAGCAGGCCTCCCGCCAAGCAGGGAACTTGATGTGGGGCTCAATCCCAGGACCCTGGGATCATGATCTGAGCCAAAGGCAGGTGCTTAACGACTGAGCCACCCAGGCTTACCTCCCCGTGATTATTTTCAAATGAAACAAATCCCAGGCATCAAAGCAATCATCTATCAACTTTTTTTAAAAAAGATATTATTTATTTGACAGATCACAATTAGGCAGAGAGGCAGGCAGAGTGGGGGTGGGAAGCAGGCTCCCCGATGAGCAGAGAGCCCAATGCGGGGCTTGATCCCAGGAACCTGAGATCATGACCTGAGCTGAAGGCAGAGGCTTAACCCACTGAGCCACCCAGGCACCCTATCAACTTCTTTTTTTTTTTAACCTAAGTGCCAAATGTTCTTATTGCACCTTACGAAATACTATCCTATATCCTGTGTTAAATTTTCCAAGTAGCCTCTTTTTTTTTTTTTTTAATAACAAGAGTTCTCAATTCTGATCTGAGTAGAATACTTGTTGTCCCTTATATCTTGAAACTGCACAAGTGTTTTCTCTATATACCTTAAATCAAACTTTCCCTCATTACTCTTTGGTTACCTCTCCACCACGTCTTACAGTAAGTAAAGTAATGCATAGAAAATCCAAGACAACTTTAAAAAACAGTAGGTGGACTATTTTTCTTACTCCCCTGCTCCCTTTCTTATTTCCCACATTCTAGGTTGTCCCTTTCCAATAATGGATTTTGAAATAGAAGAAGACATCAAATCTGTTAACACAATACTGATTATGGTGCTCATTTTTTTTTAAACAAAGCTAACTTTAGCTCTTTTTTTTCTTTTTTCAAAGACCCCATTTATTTGCTTGACAGAGATCACAAGTAGGCAGAGAGGCAGGCAGAGAGGCAGGCCCCCCGCTGAGCAGAGAGCCCGATGCGGGGCCCGATCCCAGGACCCTGAGACCATGACCTGAGCCGAAGGCAGAGGCCCCAACCCACTGAGCCACCCAGGCGCCCCAATGGTACTCATTTTTGTAGTTAAGAGGCATCTGTGAGAACTACATGATCTCCCTGTAATCCCACAATCTTTGTCATAATTTCTCTCTAGGTTTTGAGTAGCTCAGTTTCCCACAGAAGTCTGGCTCACTTTTGGGTGCGGGGTGTTTGTCTCCCACCTGCATTCCTCCAAAGACTTTTTACTTAAATTTGGTCTCTTGAGCTTTTCCTAGTATGCTGCCTGGGCCATGTTGTGTGATAGGGGTTTCAAAGGTTTTAATGAGATATAGAGTATGTGGGTGATGTTATGGTTCACCAGTTCCAGGTTCTCCTCTCAGGCAGACCACCTCACTTTTCCTGCCTCTTGGAATTTGATGGATATGTTTCTGGCCGCCCTTTCTTGACATTTTGGTGGTTAAGAAATACAGAGTGTGGGGGAAATCAGGTGCTTTTCACACAGCCTGGCTTCCTCAAGTTTTGCGTTGTAGTTTGGAAACAAAGTGCTCATTCTTCTATATTACTTTGCTTGGTTTTGACTTATTTGTACCTTGATTCTCTTGGGGACCCAGGTGGTTTTCAGGAAGTACTATTGCAGTGGTCAAGAACCACTAACTTTTATAGCCTTTTTAAAATCCCATCCTCCAATTTTGATTTCTTTTAAATCACAAAGAATAGTCTGCCCGGGGTAGGTTAGGTTTAATTCAAACAAAGATCTTTGGGTTATGCATAACTGAAATCACTTGCATTCCCTATACACTGTGGCAAGGAATCTAACGGTCAGGTGTGGCAGGGGAACTCCTATTTTAAGACTATGATTTGAGTTTCTCTTCCCAAGTTCTAAAGTAACTAATGGAAACATCTTTAATGGTTGGAGAACAGGAAATGATGTTCCGGGGGTCAGAAATGACCATTACAGATGGGGACATACTGAAGGCAGTAGCAACCAGGATCAGCCAGGCCACAATTGCAGTCACCAATGAAGCTCATCAAGGAAAACCTGCACAGCACATCTATGGGACTCCCCACAAAAGGCTTTGAAGCCCCCCAAGTTCAGGGCAGCAGACAAATGCAAGGGTACGTGTGCTGGACAGGAAGCACTGATACAGAAGCTTTTGTTTTTGTCTCACTGCCACCATGGGTTTCATTACATAAGCAAGGCATTTAAGGGAGTAGTTTGGCCACTAGATAAGGAGTGTGATGCACCAAGTAACTTCCGGCTACCACAACGAACCTAGAGGAAAAATTTGAATCGCCTAGCTGAGGATTCCAGGGAACAATTTTCAACTGTCCAGGAAATACCTAAAGCAGTACCCATGGGTGCTTGCTTACCAAGTGGCTAAAAACCAAGGCTTCACAGTACATGCAACTTGCTTGTCTTTCCTACGCTCTGTCATCAAGGATTTTTTTTCATTGAAGAAAATCCACAGAAAAAAGTACAAAGATGGGGTGCCTGGGTGGCTCAGTGGGTTAAAGCCTCTGCCTTCGGCTCAGGTCATGATCCCAGGATCCTGGGATCGAGCCCCGCATCAGGCTCTCTGCTCCGCGGAGGGCCTGCTTCCTCCCCTCTCTCTGCCTGCCTCCCTGCCTGCTTGTGATCTCTCTCTCTGTCAAATGAATAAATTTAAAAAAAATCTTAAAAAAATAAAAATAAAATAAAATAAAAAGTACAAAGATTTAGCTTTCTTTTTCATTAAGGATTACAAGATCTGAGCACTGGGATCCAAATCATCTTTTTAAAGACTCCTTAAAAATCAGTACACTCATGGAAAGATTTAGCATTCTTTTTTTTTTAAAGATTTTATTTATTTATTTGACAGACAGAGATCACAAATTGGCAGAGAGGCAGGCAGAGAGAAAGGAGGAAGCAGGCTCCCCACTGAGCAGAGAGCCCGATGTGGGGCTCGATCCCAGGACCCTGAGATCATGACCTGAGCTGAAGGCAGAGGATTTAACCCACTGAGCCACCCCGGCACCCCAAGATTTAGCATTCTTAAAGAAGGACCTCATCCTACAGAACCAGTGCAGAAAACTTTATTTCTAATTTTAATTCCAAACAAAATTTATAGCAATGGGCTATCTTTCAGAAAGGATCAATCAGATCAAAACCAGTTTCCTTCCAATGAAAACTGTTTTTTACAAAATCCTAAAATGCAAATATAGGTAAACTTAAGAAACCTGAATCAACAGAAAATTATTCAAGAATTCAGATGAAAGATGAAGAACTAACACAACAAACATGAAATCTAGATCAAGGAGAAGCAATAATTAAAAATACGATTAGAAATGACACAGCAGGGGCACCTGGGTGGCTCAGTGGGTTAAAGCCTCTGCCTTTGGCTCAGGTCATGGTCTCAGGGTCCTGGAATTGAGTCCCGCATCGGGTTCTCTGTTCGGCGGAGAGCCTGCTTCCCCCTCTCTCTCTGCCTGCCTCTCTGCCTACTTGTGATCTCTGTCTGTCAAATAAATAAATAAAATATTAAAAAAAAAAGAAATGACACAGCAAATGGGAGAGAAGCAACAAATAGAACATGGTGGGAGGGTTAAAAAAAATAGTACCTACAAAGAAAAACAAAAGTGACACCAGAATTCTCCTGCATTTATGTTAAACTTGAACAGAATTCTGAGTGTGAAATGTAAAAACAGACAAATAGTATTAGAATCAGCTTACTGAAACCTCCGTGTAATAAAATTATATATCTCACATGACCTAAATCTTCTTTCAAAAGTTTACCAAACATTTACAAAAATAAAAAAACCGGAAAACTGCAATTTTTAATGCAATTATACAGGCCACATTTTTCTGACTGTGAAACATTAAATCTAAAAACAAATCAAGCCACCAGAAAGAAAACGAAAAATCTCTTCTAAATAACTTTTGATCAAAAACTGGAATTAAGAATAAAATCAGATTTAGTTCAGGCAAATCCTTAACAAGGGGCATTGGCAAAGATGTTGTTATCGGACACGAAAAATGCTTTCAATTCCCAGAAAACGAAGCAGAGTAAGACAGTACTCTGTGTTTAAAAGAGTTTAAAAGAATGTATCTGGGCACCTGGGTGGCTCAAGAGGTTAAAGCCTCTGCCTTCTGCTCAGGTCATGATCCCAGGGTCCTAGGATGGAGCCCCGCATCGGGCTCTCTGCTCAGCAGGGGAGCCTGCTTCCCCCTCTCTCTCTGCCTGCCTCTGCCTACTTGGGATCTCTGTCAAATAAGTAAATAAAATCTTTTTTAAAAAATAAATAAAAGAATGTATCTGTTGAAAAATTTCTACATGAAATAAACTGTCTACACCTGTAAGAGAACAAGTTGCACAAAGAAATGACACTTCAGACCTCTATGAAATACATTGCCAGCACAGGACGTCTTTGTGCCAACTCAGACAGTGAAAGAGAAATGTGGAAAATCACAGCTCAGCTATTCGCTGAAAGAACATGCTGTATGTAATATACAGCCAGTGTCAAGAATCCTGGTGAGGTAGAGAGCTGCAGGGAAGAGCTGGATCAGAGTTCGAGGTTCCCCGGCTGTCCAGAAGCAGAGCATTCCTTTTCAAAGCTTGTGTAAGCTGAAAGGGCGTAAAGGAAAGGAACAGGCACCATTCATTTACAGGATACATTTTTTGAGCACTCCTGGACCCCCAAAATAACCTCTTTTAGGGTTTGTCTGACACCTTAGGACACATGTGGCTAAGAGATACGTGCACACACACAAGTCAGGACGAAGCACAGATGCTCACACATCTTGATGCCGAGACGCTCAGTGCAGTTCCCAGAGGGGGCCGCTGGGTGGGGCCACTCTCACCGCTTAAAGGATTGGATGCTGCTGAACACCTTTTGTTCTCTGCCTTTTTTTGGTAAAAAATAGTCCTCTTCAGGTTTCTTTTGGTTATCAAAAACACGTATGAATGTAGATCTTTTGTAAAAGCCGATTGGTGTATCACAAAGTTTTGAAAGGTCAGATACCCGTATTCCAAGGCCAGGCTGTATAACTCCTATGGAAAAGTGTTTATACAAGCCCAGCGCTGGAGAAGGTCTGCGAGGATACATACAGGAGTCAAACCCTACAGCTGTCACGTGAGTGGAAAGCTGTTCACCCACGCAACCCGCTGAGAACTCAGGTACTGAGCCCTACAAGTGAGAAGCCATACCAAAATGCATTATGTGATAAAGTCTGTGCAAAAATGCTGCTTATTCATCCATAATCACAAGCGTTCTGGTGGGAAAACCACTATCAATATGAGGTATGTGAATTACAATTTACAACTTCTGGCAATCTCAAAATTCATGCAAGGACACACAGCAGAGAGAAGCCAGCACACTGAACTATCCTGGTCATAGGAACATTGGAGGAAAGTCTTATTGGGTCATATCCATGAACACGCATTTGCAGTCTCCTTCCTGTCACACACACTTAAGAAAACATACAGAAGAAAACCATGACTGGGTGGTTATCTGTAGAAGAACTTCAACTCAACAGAAACTGTTGATCTCCTCAATAAGAAAGCCTGGACGAAGGGGGAAGATGCCAGAGTAGGAGAATCCTAAGCTCATCTCATCCCATGGACACAGTGAAGCGAACAGATATGTCCATGCCCCCAACTCTGAAAATGGCCTGAAGACTGGCAGACTGTCTCAAGAAAACTGGAAGGCAGAGAGATGCAGCTGGGAACCAAATCCCAGGTAAGACTAACCACAGACAGGAGAAACGCTGCAAGCCCACAGAAACAGGAAGATGAGATCCCACACTGGGCACCCCTTGCACTGGGGACCCACACTGGGAAGACAAGTCTGCTTGCTTTGAAAACCTGTTGGGTTTAATTTGGGGAGCTTTGAACACCAGTGGGCTCCCTCCTAGGAGAACAGGAAGACAAATAGGAAATGGAGACCCTGCCCTTCAAGAGTCTGAATAAATAACTCCACCCAAGACACAGCATATATGCTGTGGGCTGAAACTGTCTCGGGGTACTTGTGAAGGTTTAGTGACTCATCTTAGAATATGTGATAGAGGGGCAGGGATCTTCAGATGTCCCCAGGGAGAAAAAAGCTGGTGGACACCAATTCTCCTCCACTTCCCCGGCCTAGAGAGCTCTCCCATCTGTCTTTCTAGCAACACATGCCTTGCCCCAGGATTCCCCTGCAGACTCACTCCATCCAACCCACCTGCCAGAGTGATTGTTCCCACCGCCCAGAGCAGCTCCTGCCTTGCTGCACCCCACAGGCAGTGTCACTCCAAAGTGACTCCTGCCCTGGGGGGACGTGGGGATAACCCTACACCTAAGTCTCAGCAACATTGTCTCTTAGCTGGTTGCACAGGAAGCAAACCCTGATCTTGGGTGCACCTGCAGTTACGGCCCAGAGGCTAGTTACAGGCATCTTGGTTGACTGTCAGTCCTGGCCACCAACGAGCTCACAGTGGCCTCAGACCTCTCAATAGTTCAGGGATCAAACCATGCCCTGTGTACCCACAGCAGGCAAAGGAGCTCATTGCAGCTGGCTCAGCTAAAGATAACCCATGGCTTGGCTCCAACACTAGTGTTGATGTAGCCCACAGAGTGAATACCCCTTGGAGCACCTAAATCTGGTGACCGAGAGGGAGGGGGTGGCAGGACTGTGCTACAGGGTGCCACAGGACTTCCACTACATGAGGCCACTACTTTCAAGAAACCAACACAGAAACTAAGACAAAATAGAGAGAGGAATCTCTACAAAATAAAAGAACAAGACAAAATCAGAGTGGAACACCTAAATGGAATGGAGATAATCGATATGCTCAATAAAGTTCAGAGTTATGGTCATCAAGATACTCAGTGGACTTGAGAAAAGGGTAGGAGACTTCAGTGAGAACTTCAACTAGGAGATAGAAAGTATAAAAAAGACCCAGAGATGAAGAATTCAATAAATGAAATAAAAAATACACTGAAAAGAATTAATAGCAAATTAGAGGATGCAGAAAAAGAGATCAGCAATCTGGAAGACCAAGTAATGGAAATCAACCAAGCTAAAGAGCAAATGGGAAAAGAAGAATAAAAAATGGCAATAGGTTAAATGAACTCAGCAACATCAAGCATATAACATTTGTATTATAGAGGTCCCAGAAAGAGGAGAGAGAAGAGGACAGAAAACTTATTTGAAGAAAAAATAGCCGAAAAGTTTACTAATCTCTGGGGAAGGAAAAGCACAACCAGATCAAAGAGGCAGGGAGAGCCCTCAACAACATCAATCCAAGGAGATTCACACCAAGACACATAATAATTAAAGTGGCAAAAAATAATGATAAAGATAGAACTTTACAAGTAGAAAGAGAAAATGAAAATTCAGTTACATACAGGGGAAATCCCATAAGGCTATAAGCTGATATTTCAGCAAAAACTTTGCAGGCCAGAAGGGAGTCACAGGATATATTCAAAGTGTTGAAAGGAAAATACCTATAACCAAGAATACTTTTCCCAGCAAGGTTATCACTCCCAATTGAAAGAGAGATAAAAAATTTCCCAGACCAAAAAAAAAAAAAAAAAAAAAGAGTTGAAGGAGTTTATCTCCACTAGTCCAGCCTTACAAGAAATATTAAAGGAAATTCTTTAAGTGGAACGAAGAGTCCATAACAAGAAGAGAATTGTGAAAGGAAAGAATTTCACAGATAAAAGCAAAGATACAGTAAAAGTAGTAGATTAATCACTTATAAAACTAATGTGGAGGATAAACTACCAAAATAGCAAAATCAGTGTTAACTACAAAACCTGGTCAAGGAATACACAAAAGAAAAAGATATAAAATATGATACCATCTACATAAAATGAGGAGAGGGGTCTAAAAATGTAGTGTTTTTAGAACATGTTCAAATGTGACTGTCAACTTAATACAGGGTATTATACATATAAGATATTATATGACCCTAGTGGTAACCACAATCAAACTCCTGCAATACATACAAAAGAAGAGAAATGAATCTAAACATAGCAATACAGAGAGCTATCAAACTACAAGGGAAGAGAGCAAGAGGAAAAAAAAAACTAGCAGAAAAGAACTATAAAAACAACCAGAAATGGGCACCTGGCTGGCTCAGTTAGTACAGCATATGACTCTGGATCTTGGGGTCATGAGTTCAAGCCCAACACTGGGTGTGGAGCTCACACACACACACACACACACCCCTCAGAAAAATAATTAACAAAATGGCAATAAGGAAAACCTATCAATAATTATTTTTTAAGTCTACATTTATTTTTTTGAGACACAAAGAGAGCAAGTGAGTTGGTGGAGGGGAGGCAGAGTAAGAGGGAGAGAGAGAATCTCAAGCAGACACAACTCCTGACACAGGGCTCAATCTCATGACCATGAAATCATGACCTGAGCTGAAACCAAGAGCTGGGTGCTTAACTGAGCCACCCAGGCACCCCAACAATTACTTTAAATGTAAATGGACTAAATACTCCAATAAAAAAACCGAACATATAAAAAGAATTCATATACATATTGGTTACAAGAGGTTACAAGAGACTTACCACATACCTAAGGACACATAGACTGAAAGTGCAAGGTTAGAAAAATGTGTACCATACAAATGGAAGTGAAAAAAATAGTAAGGGTAAAAATACTTCAGATATTAAAAAGGGGGGTACTTTAAAACAAGGACTAGGCATGACTGGGTGTCTCAGTCACTTAAGCAGTGAACTCTTGCTTTCAGCTCAGGTCATGATTTCGGGGTTGTGAGATCAAGGCCTTGTTGGGCTCCATGTTCAGTGGGGAGTCTGCTTCAGGATCCTCTCTCTCCCTCTGCTCCTACCCTCACTTATGCTCTCTCTAAAATGAATTATCTTTTGTTTTATAAAAGATTATATTTATTTATTTGATAGAGTGAGAGAGAGTATAAGTGGAGACAGTACAAGTAGAGGGAGCAACAGGCAGAGGGAGAGGGAGCTGAACAGGGAGCCTGACATAGGGCTCCATCCCAGGACCCCAGGATCATAACCTGAGCCAAAAACAGATCCTTAACCAACTGAGCCATCCAGGCACCCCTAAAATAAATAATCGTTTTCAAAAATAAAACAAAGACTAGAACAGAAAAAAATAAGGGCATTATGTAATGGTAGAAATATTAATCCATATGCCCAACACAGGACCACCTATATACATAAAGCAACTTTTAATAGACTAAAAGGAGGAAGTGAAATTTATCGAGTAACACTAGGGGACTTTAATACGCCACTTACATCAATGGATAGATCATCCCAACAGAACTTCAAGTCAGTACCTTTGAATGACACATTAAACCAGATGGATCGAACAGATACAGATATTCCATCCCCAAACACCAGAATACACATTTTTTTTTCAAGAGCACACAGAATATTCTTCAATGTGGATCATGTTAGGACACAAAACAAAACTCAGAAACCTGCAATTATATCAAGCATCTTTTGTAACCACACCAGTCTTAAACTAGTAATCAATTATAGAACAATCAATTTCTACAGTATGAAACTAGAAATCCAATCTGGAGAAAATGGAAACACATGCAAGCTGAACAATAGGCTGCTCAACCACAAGTGGGCAAAATATGAAATCA